ATCCTTTGTGGTTGATGCATAAAGGGGATCTCTATCATGAATCTTGTGCAAACCAAAGCAAAACTTGTTCTTGCCAAACCACAAGGCCTTTGACAAAACATTTAACAAAACTTATGAATAGTCAAATAAGTCAAAAAATTCAAAGCTTTATACTTTTGATTTTCTTGACTACATTTGAGAAGTGCACATTCTAACTTTGCTTGATGAAGACTCATACTGAGGCTTATACAAACCACAGTTCATACTGAAAAAACATTATCACCAAAATCCCTGAGAACAATGTCACAACTTCTCCTCAGTTAAGATCATCTTCCTTGTAACAAAAGTAAAAAATATATATATATATTTTTTACTTTTGTATATATATGTTACTGTGAATGACCGATATCTGGCGAATGTCAGCATTCACACAGTCGTTTTGTATATGTACAAAATATTTGCTAAATATCATTATTTCTCACTTACACTGGCAAATGTCAACATTCAGCATGCACTGATGGTGAATGTTGAATAAAAGTATTTTTATTGCGTTAAGACAAAAAATGCAACTTTTTAATATGTTAAAATAGGAGAAATCTTAAGTAACAGCACATTTAAATAAACTGTTGAACCTAAAACAAACAGTACATTCTAAATTATTAAAGAAAATAATACAATAATAAACTTACACATAAATTATGTAATTAACGTCATACAATCTTATTTATTGCAACAACTTAAACTGTTATGGCACTTTGAATTGCATAAAAGTCCCTTGCTTTTACAACTGCATTTATTCATGGAACAGTTCTTTTTGCAATGACAGCTTGTATAGCCTTGTCCTCCACTTTTCGAATTAGCTGCAACTGCTTCTCTCAGCGATATTTCTTGAAAAGAAATCTCATCTATGGAAAGTAACTTTTCTTTACAAATTACAAACTCATTACGGGTATAAAGCTGCTTGAGGGTACCATTTTTGTTTGCTAATTTATAAAAGTTGGAGTTTTCTATTCCAACAACAACCGCCAACACATTTCGGCCACGATCGGCATCAGGGACTTGTATTCGTACGGTATCACCAATTTGAGCAGAAGGAAATGGTGAAGAATTTGGCGACAGACTGTCGCCTCTCTGTCAACATCGGCTTCTCGGGTGTTGTTTCGACCTCCACCAAAGCTTATCTGTGCTTGTCGACATACACTGGTGATTGTTCGACTGTATAATAATATAACTAAATATTTGGTCTTTCACCAACATATTTTGTATGTGTCAACATTCACTAGAGAATATGGACATTCTCTAATTTCGGTCTTTCACAGTAACATATATATAACATATTTAAAATTTTTGTATATATTTTCTGTATTTTACTTTGTTAATCTCGTCTCTTTTAGAATGAGGTTAACAGCACCAATAAAATAAAGAGAGTTCGAGTGAGGACTCGAAAATGAACGGAGGTGTTATTTTATGGTCTCCAATTTTCTTTGTCTTGTTCAACCTACACTCGACCTTACGACTACGACTGCAAAATAATACGACAATTTATAAGAGTCGACAGGATTACCTTAGTACCAGCCATGAGTAAATCTAGAGACAAATCCAGCCCAGAAACAGGTAGTTCTATCTCTCCTAAACTAAACCTTATACTGTTTAACCCACGTGGAAAGCTAAGTTTGACTTCGTGGATGAGACTGTTTGAGAAGCAAGTGGCGAGACAAAAGATTGATGAACAGGAGCTTCACTTTTACATACCAGAGTATTTACAGCATGAAGCTTTCGACTATTTTTGTGAAAATTTAGTAGAGGAAACGGATTGGAACAAAATTAAACAAAAATTACTCGAGTACTTTCCACAGGAAGAAGAAGATTACTTCACCGAGTTTGTAAATCGACGACACCAGCGAGAAGAAGACATCTTAACTTACTACAGAGACAAAACCTCCTTGGCGGAAAAAGCTAAGTTAAACATGCAACAGACCATTACAGGCCTCAATGCCGGCATAAACTCAGAAATTAGAAAATATATGATAGCCGCAC